CGGCTTCCTGACTGGCCGGAAAGCCGGCTCCATGCTCCCTCGTCACAAGTGGCGAGGGAGCATGGAGCCGGCTTCCCGGCCAATCAGGAAGTACTCGCCCAAATACCCGGTATCGGTGCATCCCTTGTTACTGTATTTTGTCACCGTTTCACGGGCACACGCAATTTTTAGCCTTTTGGGTATCTACTTGGCACAACCTCATCTTTTAAAAAAATTCCATATTGTATTTTTGGGTTTGAGAAAGTTGTGCGAAGTAAAAAACATTTTTCAACTGCCACCATTTTATTCTACAGGGTCTCCGCTTTCAGGAAATGTATAACTCTCAGGGGTTTTAGGCTAGGTTCGGACGTGCGTGACACCCGGGAGGTGCATGCTAGGACCGCGCGAACTTGTCCTAGTGCAAACAGCGGTTGCCGCGCGGCCCCGTTGATTTCAATGGGGTAACATCCGCGTGGCAGATCGCTAAAAAAAAAAAAAAAGGTACAAGTACCTATTTTTGCAACACGTGTTCAATTGCACAGATGGAATCGCTGCGGGAATCCGCATGATCCGCCCGGCGCGACTGTGATGCCTTTAGAAAGGAATGGCAATGCCAGCGCGATTGGTGACTCTGACCACGCGGAAATTCGTGCGGCTTTGTGTACGATTGCTGCGCGGCCAGGAGTCGCTCGGGTCTGAACCTGGCCTTAAGCAAGTTTTAGGACTAAAATATGAATTATAAAGTGTGATAAAACACCTCGTCAGTGAAAGGACAATTATGAGAACTTTCTGGCCTATTTTCATCCCTGCGAGCGTTATGTGTATTTCCGTTCAGCATAACAAATCCTAAATATACGTATAACCCGAGCAATACATTCAGGCAATTAAGAGAAAGCAAAATGTGAGTAGAACTTATCACACCGGCTGCAATCTGTTTTCTAGTAGAGGGGTTAATGGAAGATGGAAGAACAGCAAAACATATATTAACAAGGAAGCAAAACAACAAATGGCAGAAGATAAAAAAGGGTAAAATAAAATACATACAGTAGGAATGGTAATGACTTGCGTCTGATCACCCTACGAGAGAACAAAAGCAGAAAGATTACTCAATCTAATAAAAGGGGAAATGAAAAGGAAACACGACAAGCACACGTCAGGAAAAAGATGTATGAATGAGCTCTAGAGCAGCCGAAGAACCTGGTCTGGTCTTACTGGACCAATCCAAAGGGATAGATGGGCTGTGCTCAGAAAAAAATTCAAACACCGGTAACTTTATGTGCCAGGACAACATGAACGGAGACTCCTGCTTGGAACCTTTTCCCCTGCCGCGTTGTACCCACAAGGCTGGGATTAATTGAAGAGAACCTCTAAGATTAAAGTGAGGAGGACACAAGCAGAGATTCTCTGTCCATGTGGTCCGAGAAGAATAAAAAGTTACCAGTGTTTTAAGTACAACCGGTCTTTTCCTTTGCATTTGTGCAGTCTGTGGGACCCTGCTGGTGTTTAGCAACCGCTCTCCCATGAAGGTGACCCGGTTCATGGCTTGGAAGCAGCCTACCCTATACTTAAAGGAGAACTATGAGGAGAGTGCTTTTCACTCACCTCATAGTTCTAGCTGACCTGTGACAATGAGACTGTCACAGGTCGGCTCAGTAGATCGGGAGGTGAGCGAACATATACCGGGTTCGCTCACTTCTCGATCCTGTCACGGCTCTCTGCCGTGACAGGGGAGGGGCTGGATTCCCCACTCCCCGCTCCGATCCGCCAGCGCTGACTGGCGGAACGGACGGGGAGGGGGCGGGTAAAGCTGGCTCTGCCTCTAGATAGGCAGAGCCAGCTGTCACTCACGCAGCTGGGCGGATCCAGACATCGATGTCGGGATCCGCTCCGGCTGCGGCATCTCAGTATACCGCGAGCTGTAGCTCGCGGTATACTGAGCCTAGGGTGACGGGAGGATGCTAGTTTGGGTCCTCCCGTTACCCTAGGGGGAACTATGGGGAAAAGCCCTAACCCCGTAGTTCTCGTTTAATGTCTCACTAGATGTTCAAAGGCTGAAGCCAGCTGATTGCTTATACCTGGATGATGACATCAGTCAGCACGATCTACTAGTTGGCTTATGTGAAAGCACTCTTTATAAATAATCATCAGTATGAAATGAAGGTTTGTGGAGGACATTTATTCCAATAGGCTGCTTTCCATCCAAAAATACTACAGAAGAAAACATGGACATGGTGAAGCTGGTCATTGATGGCTGGGTAGAAGAGAAAAGTGCTCCTGATATAAGGAATTGCTGCTGTTTATATGGAAGTCTCTGAGAAGAGGAGCCAGAGGGGATGTTCTGAAAGAAAAAGGTTGTGTGGCTCTGGAGAGGGCTTCACAGTGAAGTTGGAGAAAGGCAAGTATTCAACATGGCAGGATGCTCTCGGGGATCGGGGCATGTATTAAAAAAGGTTCACTAAAAAGGGACCTTGTCCTTTAACCCCTTCATGACTGAGGCCCTTTTTTCAATTTTTGCACCCATGTTATATTCCACATTTTAGGCCTGAAAATGACGTAAAACCCCCCAACATTATATATTTTCTGAATGCCAAGACCCTATAGAATAAAATGGTGGTAGTTGAAAATTTTTATGTTGCAATTTGATCTAATCACTAAGGTGTAATGTGTTAATGTGATTGACATGTCTGGATATAGCCCACCACCCTTCCACCTCTACTTACCCAGCAAACAATACCCACCCCCTTTCCATCTCTACCTACCCAGCCACAATACCCCCCACCCTTCCCCCTCTACTTCCCCAGCCACAATACCCCCCACCCTTCCCCCTCTACTTCCCCAGCCACAATACCCCCCACCCTTCCCCCTCTACTTCCCCAGCCACAATACCCCCCACCCTTCCCCCTCTACTTCCCCAGCCACAATACCCCCCACCCTTCCCCCTCTACTTCCCCAGCCACAATACCCCCCACCCTTCCCCCTCTACTTCCCCAGCCACAATACCCCCCACCCTTCCCCCTCTACTTCCCCAGCCACAATACCCCCCACCCTTCCCCCTCTACTTCCCCAGCCACAATACCCCCCACCCTTCCCCCTCTACTTCCCCAGCCACAATACCCCCCACCCTTCCCCCTCTACTTCCCCAGCCACAATACCCCCCACCCTTCCCCCTCTACTTCCCCAGCCACAATACCCCCCACCCTTCCCCCTCTACTTCCCCAGCCACAATACCCCCCACCCTTCCCCCTCTACTTCCCCAGCCACAATACCCCCCACCCTTCCCCCTCTACTTCCCCAGCCACAATACCCCCCACCCTTCCCCCTCTACTTCCCCAGCCACAATACCCCCCACCCTTCCCCCTCTACTTCCCCAGCCACAATACCCCCCACCCTTCCCCCTCTACTTCCCCAGCCACAATACCCACCACCCTTCCACCTCTACTTACCCAGCCACAATACCCACCACCCTTCCATCTCTACCTACCCAGCCACAATACCCACCACCCTTCCACCTCTACTTACCCAGCCACAATACCCACCACCCTTCCACCTCTACTTACCCAGCCACAATACCCACCACCCTTCCACCTCTACTTACCCAGCCACAATACCCACCACCCTTCCACCTCTACTTACCCAGCCACAATACCCACCTCCCTTCCATCTCTACTTACCCAGCCACAATACCCACCACCCTTCCATCTCTACCTACCCAGCCACAATACCCACCACCCTTCCACCTCTACTTACCCAGCCACAATGACCACCACCCTTCCACCTCTACTTACCCAGCCACAATACCCACCACCTTTCCATCTCTACCTACCCAGCCACATCCCTTCACTGCAGCATCCCAACCTATCTAAGCTTGGTGTTGACTGGTGTCAAAGCTTAGACGGGGAGGTGACATCACAGACCCCACGTGACAGCTTTTAGGCCTGCTCATTGGCCACTCAGGCCTTGTAACTGTCACATATGTCCAGTTAAACCTTGGAAGCCCCACTCTAATAATGGGTAGGGGGGTGGCAGGAAAGCGTGGTTGAGTAAGTATTTATGCCTGGATGGGTGGGCCATATGCAGACACTACCATTTACCCTGAGTGATAATGTCTCTTTAAGACAAATCAGTAAAATTCACAGCGCAACTCCTATCAATCGTTCATGACCATCAACGGTCTTAAGCTGTTGCCATCACCAGGCTGACTTCGTTTGGATGTACTAGACCCTGTATGCCAGTATGGAAACCTTTGACTAAAAGCGTCATCCTTTCATATGATACCAGCTGCACTCCACGCACAAGCCCGCATGTGACAGCTATGGCGTCCAGTCGTCCACGAGGAGCCAAGTGGAGGATAGCACGTGACAATCACTGCAGCTGCCCGTATATAAAATAAGCCTGACGACAGATGACACCCTGAATGAGGTCTTCTAAGGAAGTCACTAGAGCAGCCTGCGCTCCTAAATGACACCTACACTCAGCTGCTTTCACAGCACCAAGTCTCAATGAACTGGCTGCATTACACAAGAGAAATCCAGCTCTGGAACTGCGTCCAAATACTTCACAGAATGCACGCACCACCAACACAGGCCCTTTGGGTAGTAATTAAAAGACTGCAACGGACAAAGAATATAGCATGAAGCTTGAAATAAACAAGAAAAGGGAAAAATAGAAACATTCTGTATACAGGTGAAACTCGAATAATTAGAATATCGTGCAAAAGTAATTGCAGTAAGTGCTGCAAAAGGGGCCCAAACCAAGTACTGAGTACATATGCATGCTTGTACTTTTCAGAGGTCCGATATTGTTCTATGTACAATCCTTGTTTTATTGATTGCATGTAATATTCTACTTTTTTGAGGTTGTGGATTTGGGGTTCTTGGGGTTTTCATGAGCTGTAAGCCATAATCATCACAATGATGACAAATCACGGCTTGAATTATCTTGCTTTGCATGTAATGAGTCTCTCTCATATATTAGTTTCACCTTTTAAGTTGCATTAGTGAAATAAATTAACTTTGCACAATATTCTAATTATTCGAGTTTCACCTGTATTTGGTGCAGCCATCTTGATGCTATTTAAAAGGGAACTATGGCCAAACCTTTCTTTGGCATTTGTTCTTTTCTTTGGGGTGACTGGCAGACATTTACTAATGTCCTCCTGTGGCCCAAAACTCAGCAAATGGCCATTGCCCGCTATATGCAGACAGCACAGAACTGCGCTGCAGCCGGGAAAGACCGACAATATTGTCAGGATCCACCCTGCTGTCTGATTGACAAGTGGTTCTGCCTCTCTAGAGCCAGCTGTGCCCACCCCCGCCCCCTCCCGTCTGTCCCTCCAGTCAACGCTGGAGGATCAGAGCGGGGAGAGGGGGAATCCCTGTGGGGAGTGATGGCTGACACTCACTGCAGGGAGAAGATCATGAACGGACTGACACTCACTGCTCTCTGCAGGGAGAAGATCATGAACGGACTGACACTCACTGCTCTCTGCAGGGAGAAGATCATGAGCAGAGCGATCAGCGGTATGCGATTGCTCAGTTCGTGAGCTATAGCGCCGACATGCGACAGCTGCAGTATCACACAGTGGCTCTAACTGTGGGGATAAGTGTTATTCACTCCCCCCATAGTTCTCCTTTAAAGCAGATTTCAAGTGCTAATTCTCCTCATCTCTACCACCACCCACCCTTCACATTTTACACCCTAGGCACACAGGAAAGTCTATTACCTATTAAAAAAAAAAATCATGGGAACAACTGCTGGTAATCGGGCTCACGTGCAGCCCGGTCCCGCATGTAATTTCCTTAGTATATCCAAGTTTCTGCTGGAAATATATTACCCAGGGGCATACGTGGGGCATGGCATTGCCGGCCTCTGATTGACTAGCTAGTGGCTGGCCAGTCGACCATGATACGTATTCAGCTACACCCGCTGCTGATTCATCACATCTTGCCATAGTTCCAGCTAGCACTTCAGTGAAAGGGTGATAATACTGTACTGCTTTATGTAGCACAGAACATTGTTGCCACCTTAAAAAGAAAATGCTTCAGAACCGATTTGATGGCAGCGTTACCAGATTATTTAATAAGAAAGTCAGGAAATCACCAGCACTCAGTAGTAAAGATAAATATGTCCCTTTTATTGGACAGAAAGCGTCACAGACATCCAAATAAACCGACGTTTCGGGGGCCGCGCAGGGTCCCTTCCTCAAGGCAGAAAGATGTGCCCTTTGCTGGAGGCTGTACAACGAAGTTTGGGCTCTGCGTGGCCCCGAAACGTCGGTTTATTTGGATGTCTGTGACGCTTTCTGTCCAATAAAAGGGACATATGTATCTGCATTACTGAGTGCTGGTGATTTCCTGACTTTCCTGTGTTTGCACGGCGCCATCCGTGGTAATTCATCACTGCGAGCACCACCTTTTTTTTATCTGGCCGGGACTGCTGTGGGGAGTGCGAAGGGTCTCTCCATTGACTTACAGATTATTTAATAAGACACTTTATTCAAATATAAAAACACTTACCTTTTGAATGCCGCCATTTTCTTCCACCAACGGAGGCAGCGGGCTGGTGTTGTTATTGGAGGATGGCGGCTCGACGCTGTAGCTGCGGAAGCAGCAGAACAGCGAGCTGAAGATGCTTCTGTTTCGCTGCTTTTTCAGGCTGATATTGCATTGTGAAACTGCAAAACAGAGAGAGAAAAATACATGAGGACCCGGGGGCTTGTTTATGACTCGCAGACTTCAAAATACACCGTGAAATATTATTTCTACACCTAGTACAGGTATTTATATAGCAGCAACAATTTACACAGAGCCTTACATACTGCACATTCACATGAGTCCCTGTCCTTATGGAGCTTACAATCCTACCCTAATCTTACAGACCTATCACACATACGAAGGCTATTTAGACAGGAGCCGGTTAACCTACCAGCGTGTCTTTGGAGTGTGAGAAGAGTACCCAGCACAGTGATAACATGCAAACTCCATGCAGATGGTTTCCTGGCCAGGATATAAACCATGGGTGCCAGGCAGAAGTGCTAACCTCTAAGCCACTGTGCAGCAATATGGAGCATCTGGAAGCAGAAGTGAACTGTGACTTTACATTTCCCTCCGGTCTACAAAATCCCATCCCCGTTTAGCTATTGTCTTCTTCCTAACTGTACTGTCAACATTCTCAGCATCTGTGAGATGTGCCAGTTGCACACCAGTGTCAGGATCGTGCGATTGCATGGAGCGTGTGTGGGTGTTGCATCATCACTGACGGTCCTGCTGATAAAGGAAGAAGGCGCCAATGGAAGAAGCTACTGCGAAAATGGCACCGGCGGCTTTGTGGCACAAGGGACAGCAGGTAACGATCATGATTAGAACACGGCAAACGTAGAGGCAGGTTTGCCACGATGTGCACCTATACTATATAATCTTGCACATTGCTCGTACTCCCACTGTATACCTCCAACCCTTTTCAGTCCCGCCGCTGTATACCCCCAACCCTATCGAGTCCCCCCGCTTTATACCCCCACCCCATCCAGTCCAATCCGATTCAGTCCCACCACTGTATTCCCCCCAATCCGATTCAGTCCCACCACTGTATTCCCCCCAATCCGATTCAGTCCCACTGCTGTATACCTCTAACCCACTGCTGTATACCCCTGTATATTTCAGAACTGCTGCTGTATATCTCAATATGGCACTCAAGCGGGGGTATGTCATGGTAGCAGAGAATGACCCGACCAAAGGTTATGTCATGCTAGCAGAGTAGGACACGGTACTGAAGTATGACACGGTACTGAAGTATGACACGGTACTGAAGTATGACACGGTAGTAACACGCACTAGGTGGCACTGTTGCCACTAGGTGGCACTGTTGCCATGAACAAAGCATCCCTTCACCATGGTAAACATGGTAAACATAACAGGGAGTAGGCACATATATAAAACCTTAATTACTCATAATTACCATGTTCCACTAAAAGGTCTTTGGCACTGATGTCTTATTTATTTTTATTTCCAGCTGGATTCAAACAAAGCAGTAAAGAGGAAGCAGGAAGGAAAGCGAATGATTAAGCAGTTCATGGAGGGGAGCCCCAGCTCAGGTTCAGCGGGCCCCAGGCTGGGAGCTGAACGGCCTCATGCCGAGCACAGCAGAGGATCTTCTCTCTCTGAGGTTATCAGGAGGAAATGATGGAACTTTCCATGCAGAATAACTGCAACGAGGACTAGAATTCATACACGTTACTGGCAGAAATATGAAGTGGAATGTAAATCTGTGCCATTGCCTCGGTGTACGAACCTCGTCTGCTCTTCTCAGTCTGCTGTCGCAGGGGGAATAAAGGATTTGGCTCTTTAAGAACACTGCAAATACAAAATTCCTGTTGGTGTCAGAAATCCAGTAAGCTCCTAACTTCCTGTTTAAGCTGACAACGCAGCTCTGCCTGAGTTCTCCCCTGCTTGACTACAGAACACCTCTCCTTAAGGCTCCTTTCACACTGGGGCATATAGTGATCTTCAACAGGCGTTCATGGTACGTGCACAAATGCAAAAGAAATTTGTAGGAAATGGCACCCTAAACGCCTCCGAGCAAACACTTTTTCCCCATGCGTTTGTGTGCATGAAAATGTGCACGAACGCACAGGGGGGGGGGGGGGGGGACGAGAAGGGGGGGAAG